TTGCCTGATATGGCTTGTATTCAGTTATATGGTAACATTTACTTGTTATTAGTTATTACCTGGTATTGCTTGTATTCAGGTATATGGTAACATTTACCTGTTATTAGTTATTGCCTGATATGGCTTGTATTCAGTTATATGGTAACATTTACTTGTTATTAGTTATTACCTGGTATTGCTTGTATACAGGTATATGGTAACATTTACCCGTTATTAGTTATTGCCTGATATGGTGTGTATTCAGGTATATCGTAACATTTACCCATTATTAGTTATTACCTGGTATTGCTTGTATTCAGGTATATGGTAACATTTACCTGTTATTAGTTATTGCCTGATATGGCTTGTATTCAGTTATATGGTAACATTTACTTGTTATTAGTTATTACCTGGTATTGCTTGTATTCAGGTATATGGTAACATTTACCCGTTATTAGTTATTGCCTGATATGGTGTGTATTCAGGTATATGGTAACATTTACCCATTATTAGTTATTGCCTGGTATGGCTTGTATTCAGGTATATGGTAACATTTACCTGTTATTAGTTATTGCCTGATATGGCTTGTATTCAGGTATATGGTAACATTTACCAGTTATTGCCTGGAAACGTTGCGTCACAGTAGTCATGTGACTCGCTGACGCAACACAATGTTAAAAGTGAGAGTTATCGCATCTATTCAATTAATCAATATATTAGCAAGGAAATTCTGTGAGTTACTTGTAAGTGAAGCGAATGTATCTTCAGTCTCGGAATTTCTGTCGCAACTTAGGCGTACAGTAAACGAAGTCTGTGGCGAATGCTGTAGAAGAAATATTTCGTTGTCATTACGTGGAGCGGACTTCGCATTATTGTTACTAAATAGACCGGAAGAACCCGCCCACGACAGAACACATACCAAATCACATAAAATCTAAACTTTTAAAATAAATAAAACTCTTAAAATTAACTTCATTATATTGCCCCTATAATTTTGCATATATTTTGGTTATTAACACAACTTTATACTATCCTTACGTCATATGTAATACCACATCGTTTTTTGTTTTACTTATAAGTTATATGTTTTATTGTGCTGCGCATCGTAGACTAAAATATATTGGTTAACGCTTAGGGTGAGTTGAAAATTTATGAAAGGAAATCACAGAAGCGTTCGTTTAATGATGTTAAAGAAGTTTATTTATATTTGTAATGTTTATATAAAATCAAAAATTCCGGAATGTTTTGCGACATCCGTTGTAGACTAGATTTAAATAACACACATTGGCAAGTATAAAAAAGTTGATAAGCCTATATGTTTAAAACTGAATTTTGAAATTTGTTTTTTTTTTTGTCTTAAGTTAAGACTAACTCGCCAAGTTAGGTTGAACTGAGGTTGAATTTCGCGTCTCAAATGGTGTAAGACTAACTTAATTGAAAATGAAATTGTCACTGGATTAGTTATATTGCTTAGTTCAGATAAATATCATAACTTACCAATTATATTTGTGTCTCCACTTGTTGGATGAAAGTTGAAAAATTTACAAGAACACTAAATCAGTAGATGAGCATTGAAATTTGCATATTGGTATCTATAACTTATAAGTATAAATATTTATTATTCTAGAACCTATTAAAACCAATATACGGAAAGTGTTGTATGACAGTGTGTTAATCGTTATTATTGTTATTAACAATAAATAAATACATAATTATCGAATTTGTTAATCTCCTTTTTTATTACTATTAACAATAAACCTCAGTTTTTTTCGTGTTAAAGTATATAAATTATAATTATACATTAAAAGTTGTAACTTTTTTGTATGATAGTACTTTAAAAAACTAAGCTGTGAAATCAGTTTGTTAACATGACAAAATGGTCATGCAAGCATGGAGTTAAATCATAAATGTCCATCATAACCTTGTTTACATAAAATAATAGGGGTTGTAAGGGAGTTTTATTTCATTTATGATAATTAGCTTCATGTCGATGCCAGTACCTAGTATTAAATGTGTAGTTTCTATATTACATTTTTCAAGTACAGGACGATTTAATGTTTTCTCAAATGCTACCATCTTAGCACTAATCAAGTTACACTGCAAACACTTCAAGACTACCAACATGGAGAAAAAGTTACCAATGCATGCTATAATCTGTAACCCATTATCAAGCAATGCAAATATTAAGCCAGCATTTTTGCCATGTACTTCATCTGATTCATCAGTTAACTTAACAAAAGAACAGTTTAATTTGGAACTTTCCAAGAATTGTTTAAGTAGTATGGAGACTTTGGCTTCTTCTAAAGTTGTAGAGACAAAACTTACAAATGATGTTGTTTCTTCTACTTCTTCAAACGTATTTGGATTGCATGTGCAGTCTCAAGAACCTGCTGATTTACCAGTGTTTAGTGAAACGGATACAAATTTTGAAAATCAAAAAGCTTCAAAAAGAACATTTCATGAAAGTAAAGTTCAGCCATGCATGAATACCACTGTTTTGAACCGAAGCACTGTAGTTGATGACTTAAGAGGAATGTCTTATGTAACTGAAGGCCAGTCGAACTCCCTTAACTTTTCATGTTCAACTACTACTTACCAGAAGAAAGGTAATCAAAAAGTCCAATCACAGTGTACTGAATGTTTTCCTCACACAGATTCTCATATTGTAGATAACACTAGCCCACAAGAGAAAACTGTCCAACAGATTGGATCTTTTAGGATGGAAACGCAACCTGTACATATTTCTGCTGTTATCAGTAAAGAAGAAAGATCACTGCAGTCTCCACCACCAAAGTTGTTTATCTTGAGTTCTGATAAAGACCAGCTTGTCCCAGAAAAGGAAGCTGATGAAGTAAAAAATTCTATTCAGTCATTTTCAGATGATAAACCGGCATATTTGTCAAAAGAATGTGTAGAAAAAAGTTTGACTGTTGAAAAATTACTTCTAGAACCAACAATACTCACAGATCCGTTACTTGAAGGGAATGAATGCTGGAAGTGGGTTGAAAATATTACCTGTGAGGAATTGAACAGTTTTGTTAAAGAAGATCATGAAGTAAAAAGAAAACTTGAAAAATGTGTACCTACAAGGCAAACAGAGACTGGATTTGAAAGTAAAAAGTTACTCACATCTGTTGAAACTGACTCAGTTAGACCAAAACATTGTGATGATCACTGTGTAGAGACAACACGTGTGAATTCAAATGACTCAGTTAGACCAAAACATTGTGATGATCACTGTGTAGAGACAACACGTGTGAATTCAAAGATTAGCGGATTTCATAAGATGTCAGTGGTCGGATGTGAAAACATCAAACATCAACACACCTTGAAAGTGCTCAGTATTGAGAATTCAGAAAATACAACTCCAGAATGTGAAACCAGTGGACACCAAGGCAAGTTAGTGGTTCATGAAAGTGATGAATATGACAAATTGACCACATTTTCAGGGGTTAAACCCCCAGAAATATTGATGTTGGAGAAACAAATGTCTGTTGAAGCCATTATATCATCTGTTACAGAAAACCAGGAAAAGTTGTATCCAGATAAGAAACTTTGTTGTGAAATGACCACATCTTCAGTTACAGGACATCAAGAAAAAGTAGTTCTGGATAAAAACAAGATTGATGAAATGTCAACATCTTCAGTTACTGAACATCAAGAAAACTTGGTTCTGGATAAAAACAAGATTGATGAAATGTCAACATCTTCAGTTACAGAACATCAAGAAAACTTGGTTCTGGATAAAAACAAGATTGATGAAATGTCAACATCTTCAGTTACTGAACATCAAGAAAACTTGGTTCTGGATAAGAACAAGATTGATGAAATGTCAACATCTTCAGTTACAGAACATCAAGATGACATGATCCACAAACACACCATTGGATCTCATAATGATCAACCTAAAAAAATAGCTCCCACATCAGGAGGTGAAAATAATGAGGAGCAAAGTGAAATGAAACTTGCTGACAGTGAGAAATGCAGTTTTGTGTCCATGTCTTCAGGACTAGAATTTAAAGAAATAAGTGATTGTTTAGCTGAAAATAAGATAATTGATCATACAGAAGACCAGTTATATTGCCCTTCAGAATCTGAATCATCCATATTACTTGATGCTTTACCCCAGCTGAGCAGTTTGCTTGAAACAGAAGATACAGATGGTGTCTACAACTTGAAAAGTTTATTTTCAGGTTAGTATTACTTTCCAGTCTTCAGAAACTTAATTTGGTTACATGGTTAACAAAGAGCTGTCGAAAAATTAAACTGTTTTGTTTTATTAGTACAAAAAGTAAAGAAAATATCTATGTATGAAAAGCTGTAAACTAGTAATTTGACCAAAAAGTACAATCAGTTCATACATGTAACAAAACATCATACTGATTCATATACCTGAATACAAGCCATATTAGGCAATAACTAATAACAGGTAAATGTTACCATATACCTGAATACAAGCCATACCAGGCAATAACTGGTAAATGTTACCATATACCTGAATACAGGCCATATCAGGCAATAACTAATAATGGGTAAATGTTACCATATACTTGAATACACACCATATCAGGCAATAACTAATAACTGGTAAATGTTACCATATACCTGAATACAGGCCATATCAGGCAATAACTAATAACAGGTAAATGTTACCATATACCTGAATACAAGCCATATCAGGCAATAACTGGTAAATGTTACCATATACCTGAATACAAGCCATACCAGGCAATAACTAATAATGGGTAAATGTTACCATATACCTGAATACAAGCCATAAAATACTAGAGCATTCGCCAAAGTACATGATAGTTCTAGGCTAGATGGGGTAGGCGGATATATATATAAGAGGGGAAAACGTGACGCGGGAGTTTGTTATAATGTGTGTATAGATAGTGTGTAATTGATCTGCAGTCAGAAGTATTATTGACGTTCGTTGATATAGCGTTTGTTTTAGCGCGATTGTTGAAGTTGAGTGTTTCGGTAAAGTTATATTCGGAAAAAATAAACCAGTTTTATTAAGTAAAGACTTGTGTCGTTAAAATTTCGTCGGAACAAAGTTACGAAAAAATCAATTAACAAACGGAGACGTAACACTATAATCAAGTTTTCTCCCTACACTGTGTTTTATGGCAATGATAGCAAGGCCAACCAGCCGCTCTTGGCTCATGGATGATCACACATAATTTTTATGATCTTCAGCTTTGAGAATGACCTTTCTTTTGAATTTACTGTAACTGGTACAGTGAGAAAAATTCTCAGAATCACATATAAATTGGGATAAATGTCATTTAAATGTTTTTTTTATGTAAGTACAGTAAAATAGACAGTGGTGTTGCTGTTGGATTTCTGAGCACAGAGTCATGAAGCTCCATTTCTGTGCGGAGTTCATCAGCAATTATGTCTCATTCGAAATATTGAGCAGCCTCTTTACACTTCTCCTCCAGTTCTTTTGGTAAATATAGTTTAATAACAAATTTTCTTCGTTTTTCTTTAATTTTAATTTCATTTTAATTTCCTTAATTTTATTATATATAGATACTTGTACATATTTAAAATACATTTTGTTATTTACTTCAAATCATACACATTTATATTCAATTTTGATTTTCACTGAAGACGGGCTAACTGTCCGAAACAGTTGAGATTTATCTTTTTTTAATTGTTTTTATTGTTTCTGTTGTTTAATGAAATATTTTAAAAATTATATACGATGATTCTGTGGGTCATTTTATTTGTATTGAGATTGAAATTCACCAGCATTCGCTCCATCAAAGGTTAT